CCTGGAGGGTCTCCTCCTAACCCCACACCTCCAGGAGGGCCAGGATCTCCACCCCAGACCAGGATGGCTCATGCCTGTTCCTGCCTCTGGCAGGCTCCTGGCAGCCCTGTGCATGCTCCCTGGGAGGGCCAGTGGGCTCTTGGGGGGCTTGTGGCTGGGACATGGGTGCCCAGATGTACGGCAGTGGCAGTAGCGCAGTGAGTTGGCAGCTCCCAGGACCGGCTTCCTGCCACAAGCTCTGTCCCGCGTGTCTGCAGCTTTAAGAGCTGTTGGGAGACAGGAACTGTAGAGTTGTGATGAGTGTGGCCAGAAGGACACCTGTGTTATTTCCTGGAGGCCTCTTTTTTTTGAAAGAACTCCCTCTTCTGTGTCCACACACACCTTTTTCTGAAAAAGCTTTCTCGAAAAAAAAGTTTTTCCTCATAGAATGAGGCTTACCGCCATCAGAAAAAGCCCTCCGTTATTTTAACTTCTTGTCGAAATAATGCTATTGCAGTGTGGACACAAGTATTGTTTTTCTGGAACAACGGCCGTTATTCCGGGAAAACGCTGCAGTGTAGATGTACCCATAAATACACCATGACAGAGCAGCCTGTCAAAGATAGCTCACCACGGGGATGAAAGGCATGGGGAAGCAGTCTCTCCTCTCAAGACTTCCTCCCCCCCTCCAACAGTCGCTCTAGTCTTGTGAAGCTCTGCCTCTTTAACCCTCTGTCCAGGCATCCTTAGTCCCACCCCTTCCAGGGTAACAGAAAGTTCCAGAGAAAAGAATGTCCACTGTGATTCTGGGCCCACTGGTCTGTACACCTTTCTCTCAGGGGCTTCCCCCCACGTTACCAGTGGCTGGTAAGGGTACCTAAGCCTAACCTCTCCATTAGGTTCCCTAGAATGGGCAGTCAAGGTTCACCCCAACAGACAACTTATAGCCACCTGTTGGGACTTCTCTCAAAACCTTTCCTTAACTTTCTGCTCACCCCGCAAGAACCCTCTTTACTCTCCAAGGCCGTGTCTACACTGGGCCACTTATTCCGGAAAATCAGACGCTTTTCCGGAATAAGCTGCGAGCTGTCTACACTGGCCCTTGAATTTCCGGAAAAGCAACGATGCTCTACTGTACAAAATCAGCCGCTATTCCGGAAAAACTATTCTGCTCCCGCTCGGGCATAAGTCCTTATTCCGGAACACTGTTCCGGAAAAGGGCCAGTGTAGACAGCCCAGTAGTCTTTTCCGGAAAAAAGCCCCGATCGCGAAAATGGAGATCGGGGCTCTTTTCCGGAAAAGCGCGTCTACATTGGCCACAGACGCTTTTCTGGAAAAAAGGGCTTTTCTGGAAAAGCAGCCTGCCAATGTAGGCGCTCCTTTTCCGGAAAAACTGAAAACGGAATAGTATTCCGTTTTAAGCAGTTCCGGAAATTCACAGCCCAAGTCTTTTCACTCCTTTCTACCAGGATAGTGACCTCTCCTTGCCAAAGCCCCTTTCTGTGCCAAACAGACTGTGTGTAGCATCAACCAGCCTTCCTCCCCTGGGTTTAATCAGTCCTGGCCCATGCCCCAGGTGTAACCTGGTGGTTAACTAGCTTCTCCACTCAAAAGTTATCCGACCTGTCAAGTGGGGATTTCATGCTGCTTGTATTTTTGGTTCTGTAAGTGGCCTTGGGAGGAAGGGATATGGTGATGAATATTACAGTTTGACCACACCAGAATATGAGCTGATCAGCTGCAAAATGGGGATTTCTCAGCTGCAGCAACAGCAGGATGATGAAATGTTGGTGCTGAGGAGAGAGACTATATTTTAAAAATCAGTGTAATTACATAAAAGGAGAAATTGAGGGGGAGCAGAGAGGCTAACTGAAACAGTAGATTGGTTGTCAGTTTCCATAATGCGTTTTCAAAGCCTCCTTCCTCTGAATTGGTATTAGAAGGCACTTAAGTTGGTGCTTCTGCCCCTATTATTCTTTATCCGTAGTCTTTTTTTTCCTGTCCTTTATAACTCATTGTTAAATAAGCAATGAACAATATGTAATGAAATGTGAAAGGATGAAATGGGATTAAATGAGTGTACTTGTGTGTTTTCTTTGCTCAGGAATTAATCCAGAAGGGTAATTGTGTGCATATGTTTCAGGGGTTTCATATGAGCTCATTAATTAAGGGGCACGTTGTGTGTATTTGATGACTGATTGCAGATATGGAATTACATGGTTGGGTCAAGATTCACATGTCTGATAGCCTGGGTGTTTCCTATGCTCCAGAACGATTGGAATAGAGTACAGTAGTATATGTGTGTGTTTTCCTGTTCTCCAGAATGATTATTGGGGAACGGTCTGACATTAGGGAAAGGTGTATTGGGGAAAGGTGTGACAGATATGGTCAGAGGTGTGTGTTTGTGTGTAAGAGAGAGATGCTGTAGTAGCACAGTATGTTTCTGACTGATCCCAAATAACTGAATTAAGAATAGTTTCATGCTTACGAGAGGCATTATCCACAGTCAGTGTTTCTGGGTGGTAGAGGGTTTTTGTTTGTGTGAAAGCTATCACTAGAGGTACTGTGCATGTGCAGAACAGCTAGCAGGGCTTTTTCAGTCACGTGCCGGATGTTTATTGCTTGATTTTAGGGTTACAAAATAAGGACTATTGTTAATCACACACCAGCGTATTTGTCCATTGAGCAAAGAAAACAAGAATGTAGTATCCAGGCTTGAATCGTGAAAAAATTGTATGCATAATGATGACTATTAGAAAGTCAAAGGTTGCCATTAGTTATCACGCAGTAACAATGGAGATAATCACAGATGAACTCTCTACTTAAAACAGAAAATAGCTGAGGTAACTGTTAGCAAACATCGGTTTATTTTAGTTTTAATGCCAGCAACTTAGAGTACTGGCTACTGTATGTACGGCTCTCTGGTCGTGGAGAAAATACAACCCTGAATCCACAGTACACATTTACAGGGGCAATGTGTGGGAGAGGCATGTGTAGTCACATCCCCCTCCCTAAAACACCGAGGAGGCAAGAGGGCAGAGGTGGAAGGGAACGCTACCTAGTGCAGAGCAGTGGCTGCTCTCTCCAAGGCATCTGCGCTGCACCAGGCAGTGACCTAGGCAGGCAGCCTATTTGGAGGCTACCTGGGAGAGGACAGCGCGTCCCCCCGTCACAAAAACCATGCCATGGGGAGGAAAGGAGAAGAGCATGGGAGGCTCTAGGCAGGAACAAATCACATGGCGGGTGCTCTGCCCTTTATCTCCCACCCACTAGTTGTGCGTGAATGTCAGCAGTTGCAAGCATGAATTCCTATGAGCTGTGCTGAACACGTTCCTCCTTGACAACAGGTCCAAACAATTCTGCCAAGCCAGCTACCTCTGCTATATTTTGACCCAAGGTAGCTGTTGATTAGGGCTTTAATAAAGTTACTTAAACTCAGGAAGAAATCCACCTCCTATCCCCTGGTGTCGTTTAATGCATTGGTGAGCTTTTAAGTATCCCTGTGATGCTTCCAACATTGGCCATTGCAAGATGGGATGTCAATGGTCTGTTTCTTTATGGTAAATCCTATACAGCAAAGTCATCACTACCTACACTATTAGTGGGTGGGTATTACCTGCTGTTGCAGAAAGTTAAAGAAGTGACAGGAAGCTTTACCTGTGTTCTCCACAGAGTACTTTTGGTAATATGAATTATTTTAAACATTACTGTGTCAGGACATTCCAATGGACCGCTCTTTACCTTTTCACATTGGCTGTTGAACTATTTCTCTGACTATCCTAGGAAATTATGTTCCTTGTGCATTTTACTTGTAGCAGCATAAAATATTTGGGTTTTGCCTCCTAAAGCCTCATAAACTGAATGACTCAGGAACCAGCAATCTGCACCAAAACAAAGCAGTTAAAATAAAAGATGCATACAGTAAATGAGCCATTCAACTCAGGAGTATAAATGCCAGAGGCTTACTCAAGTATCCTAAAACTTTATGTTTTTTGCAGCTTTTTTTGCTAATTCCTGCATGCACAGGGCAAGGCAGCCTGCAAGGAAACTCTGCTATGCCCCTTATAATGCAATTACACTCCATTTTACAGCACTCGGATGCCCCAGTTAAGCAAAACAGGACAGGTTTCCAATGCCATTATGATGTAGCCACTTCCATGCTACCCAATGGGAGCCAATGCTGACAGCAAGCCCAGACGGTGGATGCCACGGTGCAGGCCGAGCCCCATGGAGTAGGGCTGGGTTCAGAACTGCCCCCACCCCTCCATCCTGTTGCAGGGGCTGGACCAGGAAACTCCCCTCCCAGCTCCACCTACCCGCAAGCCCCGGGTGAGTTTTGCTCGGGCCATAGGAGCCAGCCCAGCCCAGCCCAGCCCCACCCATCTAGGCTGGGCAGTGAGCAGCAGCAGCTGTTGGTGAGGGCCAGGAACAGCAGGTGGAGGGAAGCATGCCCCAGGCTGCAGGAGCAGACAGGAGGGAGTGTGGGGAGAGTGGGCGCCAGCAGGGCTTTAAATTCAAGCATACGATTTGAAAAAATATATAAAAAATGAGTATTAAGTAAATGCAATAATATTCTACAATTATGGACTCCAATGTGATGCCAGAAAGCTTTGCTATAATATGCAGAACCAGTTTGAAAATACTGGTGGGTTTTTGAAAAAGCTATTTGGAAGCTCTTCAAGCCATTTTTGTTAAATGTGTGCAGAGTGCCATGCACAAGAAGGACCAGCTCAAGACTGGATCAAGAGACTACTGCAGTACAAAGAGAAAATATCAGAAATACATATTTAACAGACTACACTCTCTGGAGCAAGAATAATATCAAGCAGAATATGGTCACTTGAATTTCCTGCTTTCAGTTTAGTGTGAAATCTAGTACTTGAGCCAGTGGGCTTGTGGGGGGGGTTGGTTTTCCAAGAGACAATTCTTTGATATAAACAAAATACAAACTCACTGAAAAATGAGATTGACAATAATTAATGTGTATTTTACTCTCCTGTGGTTTTCTTTTCCTTTTATAGCTACCTAGACAGCTTAGATCGAATTGGAGCTCCAGACTACCAGCCAACAGAGCAGGATATCCTTCGAACCAGGGTCAAAACAACTGGCATTGTAGAAACCCATTTCACATTCAAAAACCTCCACTTCAGGTAAGTCTCATGTGAATCCATTGTTGTGTTTTCAGGCAGTGCAAATATCAGCATTGTGTGACTGCAATCATATTACCATGGCCAAAAGTTCTCCCACAGTATTCTGTACACTAGTTTCAGACGAGTTAGTCTACACAACAAGTTTTTTTGGTAGAAAATATGCTAATGAGAGACTCATTAGCATAAGTCGTAACATCGTTAGCTTATTTTCTGCCCTTTCTTTTTGTGCAAGGGGTTTTTGCGCAAAAAGCAGTGTGGATGGGGGTTTTTTGGTGCAAAAACCCCATTTTGCGCAAGATCCTTATGCCTGTCCTGGAGAGGAATAAGGATCTTTCATAAAACAGGGTTTTTGCACACACAAAAAAGTCCACGCTGTTTCTTTTTGCACAAAAACCCCTTGCTCAAAAAGAAACAGCAGAAAATATGCTAGTCGTGACTTATGCTAATGAGGGACTCATTAGCATATTTTCTGCTGAAAAAACTTGTAATGTAGACGTAGTCTAACAGAAAAAACTTAAAAAACAATGAATAGTAGCACCTTGAAGACTAACAAAACATGCAGATGGGTTTTGCCCACAAAAGCTCATGATACCATCTTCATGTTTTGTTAGTCTAGGTGCTACTAGACTATTTGTTGTTTAAGTTTTTCCTGTACACTAAGGGGCTGTGTCTACATTGGCATCCCTTTCCAGAAAAGGGATGCTAATGAGACACTTCGGAATTGCAAATCCGCGGGGGATTTAAATATCCCCCGCGGCATTTGCATTTACATGGCTGCCGCTTTTTTCCGGCTTGGGGATAAGCCAGAGAAAAGCACCAGTCTAGATGCGATTCTCTGGAAAATAAGCCCTTTTCCGGAGGATTTCTTATTCCTACTTGAAAGTAGGAATAAGGGATCCTCTGGAAAAGGGCTTATTTTCCGGAGAATCATGTCTAGACTGGCGCTTTTCTCCGGCAAAAACCCCGAGCCAGAAAAAAGCGGCAGCCATGTAAATGCAAATTCCGCGGGGGATTTAAATTCAGAAGTGTCTAATCTGCATCCCTTTTCTGGAAAAGGGGTGCAGTGTAGACACAGCCCGGCTGTGTCTACACTGGCCCCTTTTTTGAAAGGGGTCAGACACAGCAGGGCTCTGTCTAGACTAGCAAGTTTTTCCGCAAAAGCACGTGCTTTTGCGGAAAAACTTGCCAGCTGTCTACACTGGCCGCTTTGGATTTGTGCAAGAACACTGACGATCTAATGTAAGATTGTCAGTGTTCTTCCGCAAATACAATGACTCTCCTGTTCGGGAAAAAGCCCTCTTGAGCAAATGCTTTTGCACAAGGCGGCCAGTGTAGACAGCTGAGAACCTTTTTGAGCAAAAAAGCCCCGATGGCGAAAATGGCGATCGGGGCTTTCTTGCGCAAAACCGTGTCTAGATTGGCACGGACGCTTTTCCGCAAAAAGTGCTTTTCTGCAAAAGTATCTGTGTCAATCTAGACGCTTTTTTCCACAAATGCTTTAACGGAAAAACTTTTCCGTTAAAAGCATTTGCGGGAAATCATGCCAGTCTAGACGCAGCCTAGTTGTTTGGCTGGCTGCTATCTTTCACCCCAGAGGTGGTTGCATTTCTGGGGTACTAGAATATGGTATGTAAAATTGTTTGTGGGGGAGTGTAACACAGCATGACTCACCACCACAGGCACCTCCCGCTGGACAGTCAGGAAATCAGCTCTTCAGCCCTGGAGTGTCCCCTTTCAGCTGCTGTCACACCTGTTGCTACCTGTTAATGTTCCCACCACTTTGTTGGGATCTACCACCCATCCATCTGAGTACTGCCCGGGTGCAGTATCCTCCCACTCTGAGGTCTTTCACACTCTGGGGACCCCCAACTCCCTATGACCACATTGCCTCAGTGACCCACTGCCAGTCATCATCTAGCCCCTGCAAACTGCAGTCTGAAGTGGCCCCTCATCATTGGCAAGAGGGTGTGGACCTGCTGTCTTTGCTGCCCTGGCTGCTTCTCTACAGCCCTAGTACACTCAGGCCCTGCAGCCTGGGAGCATGCCTGGCCAAAGTTTCCCCAGCTCTGCATGCCTTTCCCCAGCCCTGCTCTAAGTCAGGCAGCCTCTAGCTTCTCTGGCAGCTAGGCCCCTCCTGTTTCCTAGACTGAGTCTATGTCTCCACCCTCCAGGAGCCTTTCTTTATACTGCCCTCAGCTGGACCCTAATTGGCTCAAACTGGCCACAGCTGCTGGCTCCACAGCTCCAGCCCTCTCCCAGGCCGGGTTTTAACCCCTTCAAGGGCACCAGGTCAGACACCCCATCACAGGGAGGCAGTCCCTCTTTGTGACTCAGCCTGGTCACTCTTCAATTTCCACCTTTCCAGGGTAACAGAAAGTCCCAACAAAAATAAGTGCCTGGTGCCTGCATCTAAAGTGCTGACCAATGTTTTATGGCCAGTGAGCCATCCATCTTTCTTAGAGCTTTCCATCTTCCATATCCTCTTCCCAGTGGCTGGTAGAGGAACCCTGGCCTACTTACTAAACTGGATTCTAGTCCAAGAACCTAGGAGAACCAGTCTAATTCCATTCCTACAAAACTGCGTGCAGCCACCACTCTGGGCTTCTTCCTGCCAAGCCTTGTCCTCAACTCCTCTCCCTGCAAGAGGCTTCTTTGTTCCTGCAAGGTCTTGTCACACCCTATTTCCAGGCCAGTGACTTCAGAGTTTCTCCCTTCAATCCTCTTCTGTTCCAAACTTCCTCTTTGTATACCACCACCCAGCCCTTCCCCCGCCGGATTTCATCAATAACTACCCCTCACCCACCCCCCAGATGGATTGATTGGCCTCTCTGGCCCATATTAATCTTTTCAACACCTGCAGGACGTAGGCACCAAAGCACTACTTGCCTTGGCATACAAACAAAATCCCTTTTGTGCACGTTGTTCTGCATTTTCCCATTGTGAGGGGTTCCCTGTCCCTTTCTCTGAGGCCTCTGATACTTGCCGGTGTGGAGGCATGACACACGAGTGAGCAGACAGTGTCCCAATCTAGAATGGCGTATGTTCATAAATGTAAAAACACTTGTTTTTACATTTGTTGTCTACTCTACCTGTAGAGTTTGCCAGTGATTCTGCTCTCAAATGCAGGGCAGATGGTGGTTTCTAAGACCCCCACAAAATGAATGATACTGAGAGTTCAGCCTCTTAAACCCCTAAAGGTATGTCTACACTACAAAGTGAATTCGAACTAACAGCTGTTAGTTCAAATTAACTTTGATAGGCGCTACACATACAAACTGCTAGTTCGAACTTAATTCGAACTAGCGGAGCGCTTAATTCGAACTAGGTAAACCTCATTCTACAAGGACTAACGCCTAGTTCGAATTAAGTAGTTCGAATTAAGGGCTGTGTAGCCATTTAATTCGAACTAGTGGGAGGCTAGCCCTCCCCAGATTTCCCTGGTGGCCACTCTGGGCACCACCAGGGAACCTCTTCTGTCCCCCTCCCGGCCCCAGAGCCCTAAAAGGGGCACGGTCTGGCTACGGTGCCCATGCCAGGTGCAAGCCTGTCAGCACCCAGCCAGCAGACCCTGCACCTGGCACGGCTCCAGCCAACCACCCCCTGCCACCCCGCCCACCCCCTCC